ATGATCGGTGACGTGTCATGTAATCGTCTAACGTGCAATGTGCGAATGACAAGAGTACAGGGCTTGCCTTGTCTTGAATCAAATCACATCATGTCAGCTTTGTATTCCGTGATAAACAAAAACCAGCACAGCGACATTAAGTCATGTACAGAAGATGGCCAGCCATCAGTGGCTGTTGCGCAGGTGAACATCGCTGCTGGTAATGTGCAAGTCAGATACGAACGCGTCCACATCTTCGCCGCGGAAAAACGCAACATCCTCCTCGCGGAAAATCTGACCAGTAGGTGTGTGCGTATGTGTGTGTGTGTGTGTGTGTGTGTGTGTGTGTGTGTGTGTGTGTGTGCGTATGTGTATGTGTGTATGTGTGTGTGTGTGTGTAAGGCTTTGAGGATTCATTGCAAGCTGCTTGTACAAGAAAACAAGACACATGCACTTAGCCACGCTGCATACCCCACACTGCATACCGCCACCCACACCACCTCTGCAACATACGTTATCCAGCATCCTCTCCACGTCCTTCTTCATTCTGCTGCGCAGTTTGCTGCGTGCGCGGTCGCGTGCAATCGCCCGCTCGTGTGCGCTCTTCGCCGCAAACTCCTCCTTTGTCCGCAGCGCTTCGTCAAGCAGCCGCACTTGCTCCTGTGTGTGTGTGCGTGCGTGCGTGCGCGTGTGTGTGTGTGTGTGTGCGTGCGTGCGTGTGTGCGTGCGTGCGTGCGTGTGTGTGTATGTGTGTGTGTGTGTGGACAAAGGAATTCAAACACAACACAAATCACCGCCACCACACAAGCAATTACCACCATCTTGACCACTCTCCAGTCACAAAGGCGCACCTGGTACGTTGCTGTGAGTGCATCGAGGTCCAGCCTCTCCTGCCGTTGTTGCTCTGCCCGTAAATCACGCCGGTACGCCTCCAGATCCCTGATCGTGGTGGTGGTGATGGTGGGTGAAGGGTGGGGACACAGATGAGAAGATTGGTTGGCAGCTAGGCTTTGGACAGCAGAGGTGGAAACAGCTGACGTCTCACACTTCGCCACACACACACACACACACACACACACACACATACACACACACAAGGCGTGTACCTGATGTGGTCCTTAAATTGCGCAATGCTGCGGTCAAAGAGGCGCCTGATTTCCTTCTCTTGCTTGGCGTTTTCGCGTGCGCCCAACTGCCGCCGCCGTTCGTGCAGATGCGACAGCGCCTGGCGCTGCGACGCCCGGTCCTGCCGCATCTCACGCAGCCTGCACTCGTGGTCGTGGTGTGGTGTGTGCGCGCGCGTGTGTGTGTGAGTGTGTGTGTGTTATGTTCATGTGCAGTGTGCATGGATGAGACTGGTGCTGTTTTTACATGTCAACGCCACCACCAGTGCCACCTTGATCATCATCATCATCATCATCATTATCGTCGTTCACCACGCTTTTTGTTGTTCCCACCTGCGTTGCGTCTGCAGCTTCAAATCGCGCTCAAAGCGCAGCTGCTCCAGCCGTTTCCTCGACGCAATGTCACTGTGGGCGATGATGTGATATCCGTGGTCACGTGTTTGTGCGCGCGCGTGTGTGAGTGTGAGGGTGTGCGAGCGTGTGCGAGCGAGAGGGTGTATAAGCGGCATCAAGACACACACACACACACACACACACACACACACACACACACACACAGACGGGCACTGCAGCCGTGGCCATCACCTCTGCACAATGTCCATGTGTGCGGCGTGTTTGTGCTTGATGTCATGAACCGGCGACGAGCGGCTGCGGCGGACACGCGACGACCGCGCACGCAGCGCCTGAGGGTTGAGGTTGAGGTGGTGGTGGTGGTAATGAGTCGACGGTTGGTGGTGAAGGTGCGAATGTCACGAGGTTGCTCCATCAAGCACAAAGACACAGACACACACACACACACACGCACACACACACACACACACACACACACACACACACACCTTCATTTCGTTGTTCCACAGCCGTTGCTTTGCTGCTGAATCGAGGGCGGCAACCGGGAACGACGCGCGCACACTGATGATGATGATGATGATGATAATGGCGGTGGCGGTGGTGAGGTTGGTGGCGTGAGCAAGGGAAAACGTGCAGGTGTTGGCGGCCACACACACACACACACACACACACACACACACATACACATGATACCTTGCATGCAACGTATCATGCTGCCTTGTGCCTTTTCTTCTTCTTCTTCTGCTGGCGTTGGTGTGTCCATTAACTTCTTCGCCGCGGCCATTTGGGGTGTGCGTGTATTTCGGCTTCGCCGTCGCCTTGGTCCTGCCGCGCCTCTTTGTGTGCGCCTTTTTCATGTCACTGTGGGCGGACGTCGCATTCGCTCCCGCCCTTGGCTCACTGCGCATCCCGCTGCCGTCACGATGACGACGCGGAACAGCGCGATGCTGGCGGTGTTCGTTCTCACGGGAATGATCAAGATCACCCAACATCAGCTCTGCATCCTCATCTGTGTCACCACCGCCATCATCATCATCATCATCATCATCATCATCATCATCATCATCACCACCACCCCACTCGTGCCTGCTGGCCGCCTTTCTTCTTCCTCTCCTCTTCCCCCTACGCCCGCTCTTCATCCTCCTACCACCACCACCATCACCGCCGCCACCACTGCCATCAAAGCGCATGGGTTGAGCGAGCGAGTCGAGAAACGTGCTGTCGGTTGCGGGGTCGAAGATGGCGCCTGGGTGCGTTGTGCTCACGGCCTGGGGAACAGGGCGGTCCTCCCGTGAACACATGCGCAACACGCGTTTCAGAGCGGCGTCGCGTTCCCGCTTCGTGTCGCCGCGCTCACGGCTCAGCACGTGCTCCTGCCCATGTGTTCGCTCGTGTGCTGTTGGAGCAACGCCTCTTGCATCATGTTGTTGTTGCTGCTGCGACGGCTGCTGTTGTTGCTGCGGTCGTGGCACGCGTGTGTCCACGTGATTACTGTTGTAACCCTGTTCCACGTCGAGATCATCGTCATCATCTTCATCATCATCATCATCGACGTGAACATGTATGGCCGTTCCTTCATCTCGATGGCGGCGGCGGTGCGGGTGCTGTGCACTACTGCTCATCTCCCACTCATCCGCACCACTTTGGTCTGCTGTTCTATGGGACGGTGCTCCCACATCGGGTGACACACCACCATCACCATCACCGGCATCATGACCACCAACCCAAACGCCATATCTCCCCGTCTCTAGGTCGCGGAGGTCTCGCGTCGACACGACGGAATCGTCCTGGTGCGCAGCGCCTGTTGCTGCTGTGGCTGCTGTTGCTGTCATTGGTGCTGCTGCCGGTGTTGGTTCTGTTGAAGTGTTTGGTGCTGTTGATGTATCCGATGGTTCATGGGGGGACGTGGTGTCCTGTTCCAGCAGTCGCTGCAACAGCGTCAAATCGCGTTTAGCACGCGCTGCACGTTCCGCCCTCTCCTCATCCCACACCGCCGGCCCCGTTGCAGCTCCTCTTGCCGCATTGTGTTGTTGTTGTTGTTGTTGTTGTTGTTGTTGTTGTTGTTGTTGTTGTTGTTGTTGTTGTTGTTGCTGCACTGGTGGTGGGGGTACCACTGGGTCAGTTGCATGCGCTGCCTCTGTTGTAAATTCGGGCTGTGGTTGCGCGGTTGACGCGTGGAATGACCTTTCACTGGACCACGGCAACACTGCATCTGGCGACTGCTGCTGTTGTTGTTGCTCCAGTCCCGTGTGTACGTGAACATTCCTCAGTGCCTTGTTCACTCCACCGTCACCTCCACCATCACCACCACCACCACCGCCACTACCGCCACTATCAACACGTCGCCGTCTCCTCCCATTCACTGCAGCGCCGTCGGCACGTCGGCTGCCTGCGTGAACGGTTCGCCTGCTGCTCCCTTGGCCGCTGTCATCACGCCTCCCACCATCACCAGCACCACGACTACCGTTGCTTGCTCGCAATCCCTTATGCTCGGCGCGAATGCTTGCTTCGCGCGCTTGTGAGCTGGCTGTGCTGCGCATGAATCTTGGTAGCTCGCTCTCCCTCTTCCTGTTGTCGCTCTCATCGTGCTTCTTGTGGTTACGCCTCGTTGAATTGCTGGGTTTAGACTCTTGTTGTCTGTCGTCACGGCCATTGTTGCTGTTGTCGCTGCTGCCTTGCTTGTCATTGGAGTGGCTTTGGGCACGGCCGCTTTGTCGCAGACTGCTTTGGTTCTTGTGCGCTTGCACAGCAGAACTGCCCTTGACACGTCGCTTTGAGCCGCTGCTATGCTCTTCATCTTGCTGATGTTGCTGCTGTCGTTGCTGCTGTCGTTGCGGTCTGCTTTGTTCTTGCTGCTGTTGTTGTTGATCGTCTGGGGCGGTGCCGTACAGGACAATGTCGCTCAGGTCCAGGACAACGGCCAAGAGGTGCTCGATGGTCTGCACGTCGCCAGCCCCAACGGCATCCACTCGAATGTGGTCGAGTGGCATGCCTGTCGCAATCGACAGTTAACAGGGACGAGTGGAGCAAGAAAGGGATGAGACGGAATGAGGTGGATGGTGACGTTGAGAGAGGAGCGGCCTACAATGGCAGGACAGGCACACAGTTCGTTTTTACACACACACACACACACACACACACACATACACACACACACGCACGCACGCACACACGCACACACACACACACACACAAAAGATACACGCACAAAAGATATACAGCTCACCGATGACGCTGGAGGCAAGGTAGTCGATGGCGTGTTGGAGCTGGGCGCTGGGGGTGTCCCCAGACAAGGAGATCTTGAACAAGCGACTGATGAGGCGCACAAACACGGTGCAGGTGCAATCCTGCAACGTTTGCACGTCGGCCATGACTGCGTTGTCGTAGTTCACACTGCCACTGCGGCTGCCCTGTGCCAGCTTCCTCCACACCCGCTTCAACCGTGCCACAAGGCGTCCATGCCTGTCCTCCTCCATCCTGGGGGGGGGGGGAAGTTGGCAGGGAAAAGGACTGGCTTGAATGAGTGCAAGCTAGCGAGCGTGCGAGGGTGTTGTTGTGTTGATGTGAGTGGCCGTTATTGCTCTTGGCTTTGAGCTGGTTACTGAAGAATCGCCACATTTTTGCACACTTTTCTACAACCCTCGTGGTCGAGCACAACGACGATCAGAGTGCACAAACACACACATACACACACACACACACACACACACACACACACACACACACACACACACACACACACACACACACACACAGACACAGACACACACACACACACACACAGCCATGCCTGGGGCGAAGAAGAAGGCGTTCAAGCACAAGCAACGCCACAAGAAGAAGCAACAGCAGCGCCAACAAAGACAGCAGCAACAGCAGCAAAAACAACAACAGCACAAGGATCCACAACAACAAGCAGCACAACATCAACCTGTTGACACTCTCCTCACACAGGTATTTGCGCTTTCATGCATGCACATGAATGTGTGTGTGTGTGTGTGTGTGTGTGTGTGTGTGTGTGTGTGTGTGTGTGTGCACCCTTTCGTGCACCACTCTTCGCGCACCACCCTTCGCGCACCACTCTTCGTGTGCACCATTCCTCGAGCGCCACCACCCCGCTCGCGCGACTCTCTTGTTGCACCCATGCCCGGTCGACACGCATAGCTGCTCACCCGTTGTGTCGTACTTTTGTGCGTCACACCATTACAGGCTGAAACCGCGTATGCGGAGATGCGCTTTGACGAGTGCATGCAGCTGTGCGATCAAGTGCTGTCGCAGTCTGCGGGGAACACGGCTGCGATGGAGACAAAGGCGCTTGCGCTGCTGCAGCTGGAACAGCCGGAGCCCGCGCGCGCGCTGCTCGAGGAGTGTGTGCGGCTATCGCCAGAGGAAGGCGCCAGCAAGTACATGTATCTGGGCCAGATGTCGTTTGGCGAGGAGGCCGCCGAGGCACTGCAGCACGGCATCTCCATCCTTGCTGCTGAGCAGGAGCAGATGCGAGGCGTCGCCACCGACGAGGAAATGCAGGAGCACAACGACGCTGTTGCCGCTGCATTCTGCTCCCTCGCCGAAGTCTACCTCACGGACCTCTGGTGAGTATGTGTGTGTGTCGTGTGCTTGTTCAATCGTGTGCTGGTACGATCATGTGTGTCTGCGTGCAATCATGTGTGTGTGTGTGTGTGTGTGTGTGCGTGGGTCGTGTGCGTGTGCAATCGTGTGCTGGTACGATCATGTGTGCGTGCAATCATGTGTATCTCCATCATGTTTTGTGTGCGCATGCATCCACCTTGCATGTACGTGTTGCTAACAAACCTATTGTACAATCACCCCTTGCAGCGAAACGGAGGGTGCGCAGGACGTGTGCATGGAGCTGATGAAGAAGGCCCTCGACTTTGACCCCAACAACGTGCAGGCCCTTCAGGTACGCGCTTGCGTTGGTTGGTTGTTTGGTTGGTTGTTTGCTTGTTTACGTGAGCATCACACGAGCTCCATTCTACGTGTATCAACGCCAGTGCCCACTTTGCTCTTGCCCATTCCCTCACTTCCCTCCATCTCTCTGTCTCTCTCTCTCTCTCTCCATCTCTCTCTCTCTCTCCATCTCTCTCTCTCTCTGTGCAGACGCTCGCCAGCATACACATTAGCTTGTCAGAGCCGGAGCAAGCGAGGGAGTACCTGTTTCGGTCCCTTGATGAGTGGTGGAAGTTCAGGAAAGGCGCACATGGCATGGACGTGGCAGGTGAGGGCGATGATGATGATGAAGGTGATGATAATGATGATGGTGACACCACTGGTGGAGCAACCGCAATGGATGATGATGACGACGACGATAATGGTGAAGAAGATGATGATGTCATCGGCGATGATGATGATGATGAGAAGCAGCTTGACCCTGACGAGATGGTGTATGTACCGCCGTATGAGGCGCGCATCAACGCGGCCAAGATGTTGATTGAGCTTGGCGAGCTCGACCTGGCCCTGGAGCTTCTGGACCTCCTCATCGCAGAGGATGACGAAATCATGCAGGTGTGTGTGCGCATGTGTTTGTTGGTATGTGTATGTGTGTGTGTTTGTTTGTTTGTTGGTGTGTATGTGTGCGCGTGTGTTTGGTTGGTTGTTTGTTTGTGTGTTTGTTTGTTTGTTTGTGTGTTGTTTGTTTGTTTGTTGTGTGTGTGTGTGTGTGTGTGTGTGTGTGTGTGTGAGCGAGTAAGTACGTGTGTGTGTGTGTGTGCGTTTGGTCAAGGTGGGGCAGCGTGGATGCCCTTTGTGTATTTTGCGGAGCTTCTGTGTGACACTTGCGACTCCGCAGACTAAGCGTCAACAACGTCTACACATGCCGCCGCCACCACCACACCGTTTGCTCAGGTGTGGTACCTGCAAGGGTGGACGCTGCACCTGAAGGGCGACACGGAGTCGTCGCGGGAATCGCTGGAGCGGGCAAAACAGGTGTACGTTGCGTCGCAGGCAGACCGCCCCGAGGTCTTGCAGCACATTGACGAGCTGCTGGCTGAACAGCAACAGCAACAACAACAGCAGGAACAGCAGGAGGAGGAGGAGGACCAGGATGGCGATGTTGCCATGGCGTGAGCAGTGCTGGCAATGGGGTGGCTGGTAGTTGCTTGGTGTGTGTGTGTGTATGTGTGTGCCTTGTGATGATGACATAGCCCGACTTGGGTGACTGGTTTGTCTTTTGGGACGTTCGCAACTCTTGTGGTGTGTGGGTATGATTGGCTGACGATAAACCTTCTTCTTCCCAAGGGCCCCTCACTCGCTATCACGAGCATCTTTGCCATGGTGAGAGGTCAGAACTTTGTCCCTTGCTTCAAGAACGACTGTTAGTAGTCCGGTGACCTACATCAGGAATTCGAAGTGCATCCGATCTGATGTCATGTATTGGTTGGGGGGAGGGGGGCACAACGCAACAGCCAAGACAAAAGCCAGCAACAGCTTTTGCGGTCCAGCAGGAGACTAGTGACAGCAGCTAACGTCGACAGGAGACCGAGATCAATGGCAAGCAGGGGCAGCTTGGCGGTTGTCGTAAAAACAAAGCGCCGGGGCCAGGAGCGAATAGGTGCTTCAAAGGGAACATCAAGAGCGGGGCAGTTGTGGTGAACGATTAACGAGACAGCAGAGAATGCTGAAAAGAAAATGCTGAAGGGAACGAACACAGTACGTGACAGAGACAGGGAGTCTGGGTTTATAATAAGGCAACGGTCGAGCACCTGAGCACTACACGACACGCTACAGGGTAAGCAAGACAGTGCAAGCTTTCAGAATGGTAGATGTTTAGACTTTTAGATGACTGTGAGCAAAATGAGTGCAGAGAAGTGTCACTGGTGTGAAGAATAAAGAAGCCCAAAGTAAGCGTTCACTCAGGCGGCGTTTGTGATGGTGATGTCCATGCCTTGTGGGTAATGGAAGATGACGAAGCCGTCTGATCCGTCCTGAGCATACCGGTCTGCACTTCTCCCTCCCGCCCCAACGACAGCCTGAAGCTGCTGCACGGGTGCTGTGAGTTGAAATACCCCAGCTGCGTACCCACCATTGCCGCCATCTACTCCAGTTGATATGGTGGGAACGCGATAACTGCCAGCGCTGCCACCGCCGCCAACACCACCGTCCCCACCACGCCCCACCAAGCGAATCGGCCCAATGTCCCCAGACCCGTGAGCACCGCCCGGTCCAAGATAGTCGCCCCCAACTCCGCCCGTTGCCTTGAGCCACATCATCGCCATGGAGGGACACACCAGCGACGTCGACGCACCGTTTACCCCACCAGCGGAAGGACTGGCGCCACCGCCTCCAGCACCACCAACTTCAGCGTACAGCGGCACTGAAGACGGGAGTCCGCTGCTGTTGTTGATGGAGATTGTCACGTCGTATGTGCCTGCTGTCGTGATGGCCGCAATGCGTGTGAAGGCCACTGACGCGGTAGCCTGGCTTTCTAAGGTTGACACTGTGCTTCTCAGCTCGGCGTTGTGCCTCTGCAGCGTGGAGACGGTCTGCTGGAGGCTGCTGAGCGTCTCGAGCATATCTTTCAAAGACAACCGCGCCTCGCTGTCCTGGAGGATCATCTGACGATTCTCATCCACGTAGATGAAGGCGCTGGTCCTGTTCATTTCCCCTGTCTGCGCATGCGAGCTCACGAAGGTCGTGTAGCACACGACAAGAACCAACAACCATGACACGGAACTGAGGGATGGAAGCATGCTTGCTTGCTTGTTGCTTGTTGCAGCCATTCAACCTTCACTGTCTGTGGTTGTTGTTTGTTTTGTCTTGCCTATTGTTGTAGAAAATCCTATAAAGCTGTTCCCATTTTTCTACATCCAACCTGCAAAGCGAGAGCCAGAAGCAAAAGTGAAGCAGGCGAACAGCACCCCACCCACACCAAACGACCCAGACACCGACCGCCGATCATGGTGAAGCGGACGGCGAGCACCAAGTACACGGTGACAACGGAGAGCTCCGTGCAGGCTGGGTTTTGGGGCGGCAAAGCACGATGGACGGTGGACGTTGCGCCCGATGACTACCACGTGATTGACTTTGAGCACACGGGCATCTTGGGCAAGCGCATCGTCAAGATTGATGACCGCGTCGTCATCAAGCGGGTGTGTGTGTGTGTGTTTCGTGTACATGTGTGTGTATGTGTGTCTGTGTGTCTGTGTGTGTGTATGTGTGTGTGTGTTTTTCGTGTACATGTGTGTCTCTGTGTGTCTGTGTGTCTGTGCATATGTCACCGTTAATTTCACTTTTATTGCTTGCAGGCAAGCAAAGTAACACCCACCTTTTACGAGGGAAGAAATTCCGAACCTCTCACCTCGTTTCGCGGCTGCACACTTGATCACCACTCATCCACTCACCCCTGCCCATCGCTTCGACGCCTCGCTCCCCTCCCTCTTCCCAAACCCCAAACCCACATTGGTAGAACAAGTCGCTGAAGCTTGTTGGGAGGGAGTCGTTCACGTTTGGCGGAACCACACGGCATCACGGCGAAATCACCATCGAGCCCGTTGGCTTCTCGCACTACGAGTACACGCTGTACATTGACAGCGCCCCGTTTGCGGAGTTTGTGGACTTTGCACGCGCCCAGGCACAGAACAACCTGCTTGGTGTGTCCTCGCACACACCGGCAAACAAGAGCGCTTCGTCTTCCTCGCGCATGTTCGGCAACCCAAACTACGACGTCTCCACTCCGCTCTAGGAAACATGAGACGGTACGTGTGTGTGTGTGTGTGTGTGTGTGTGTGTGTGTGTGTGTGTGTGTGTGTGTGTGTGTGTGTGTGTGTGTGTGTGTGTGTGTGTGCATGTGTGTGTGTGTGTGTGTGCGATGAGATTCCAACGGCGTGCTTGTATGTCTGCTTGCTTGCAGGGGTCAGGGGCGAGAATCGTCTGTGCGGAATGCCTTGCCCGTACGCCACTCACACATGCTGTCTCACGCACGCGCTGCACACCACCAATCACACACACACATACACACACATGCATGCGTGCACAGCGCCTGGGCTCCTCGCCGATGCTGCCGTGTCTCCGTTATTGACTTTTCTTATTCTCCCAGCACGTGTGCTGTTAATGCCGCTTGCCTTCCTTCCTTCCTCCTCTGATCAAGCAATGCAAGCCCTTGTGCTGCAGCCTTCTCGGCCCCTAACTTGAATTCCAATCGCCTTACTTGCTCCTTTGCTTGCTTCTTCACATCGCTGTTGTTGTTTCGTTTTTGTGTTGCTGGTTGGAGGTGTAAACAGTCAACATCACACCACGTGTAAACGCAAACAACAGCAAAGGTGCACACGATTTGGGTTTTTTGCTTGCTTGCTTTTTGCTTGCTTGCTTGCTTGCAGGCACCCTTTCCACGCCCACTCATTTTCCTCTTGTTCTTTTGGCTTTTTGAGTGTGTCCTGACGTTGTCGACAACCGCCACCAAAGCAACCACCAGCACTAAGTCCAACCAACCACCAAACGACCAAGCACCAAGAAGCAGACGAGCACCATGCCACCACACCGCGTGTTCATCTCGCTGCGCTTCAGCGAGGCCATGGATGCGAGCCAAGCACTGAAAAGGGCGTTGGACAAGCGGGGCGTGCCCACGTTCCTGTGCGCCGTTGCTGCTGGCGACAGCATCGCCGACGCCGTGATCGAGGCCATCGACGAGTGCGAGCTGGTGGTGATCATGGGCACGCACACGTACGGGGAGAAGACGGACAGCAAGTTCAGCTCGCGCGAGGAGCTCGAGTTTATCATCAACGACGAGAAGCCGTTCTTCCTGGTGAAGATGTGCGACCGCTTCAAGCACGCCAAAACGCGCTTCTGGCTTCCGCCCACCATCGCCTACCACCCATGGCAGCCGCAGGGCGCCGAGCGCTCCGATCCGCCAGCTGAGCTTGTGGACGCCATCATCGCCAAGCTCAAGGACGTGACCGGTGACAGCGCACCAGTGAAGCTGCAGCAACCACAATCAACTAGCTCAGCGTCCTTTTCCCAAGTTCATGGCGTGCGTGCAGTCAGTGGCGGTAGTGCTGAGGACGCCGTGCGCAAGCTGCAGACCAACGGCCGTAGCATGCACGCGGCTGAGATTGTGCAGCTGATGCAGGCGTTTCCCGCCTCTGCTGACGTGCAACGTTTTGCCTGTCAGGCACTAGAAGGCCAGGCAGAGGGCAATGCGCGGGGGCGTGTGGATGGGACTGCATCTGGCGCCATCGACGCAATCATCAAGGCGATGAAGATACACAGCAGTAACGGCGATGTGCAACAGTGTGGGTGTGGGGCGCTGCAGAACCTGGCATTCAACAACCATGACAACCAGGTGGCGATTGCGTCAAAGGGTGGAATTGATGCTGTGATCGTGGCGATGAAGCGCCACAGCAGCAACAGCGGTGTGCAAGAGAGTGGGTGTCGTGCGCTTGGAATCCTGGGACACAACAACAATGGCAACCAGGCTGCGATCGCGTCAAAGGGCGGGATTGATGCCGTGATTGCAGCCATGAAGAACCACAGCAGCAAACTCGGTGTGCTCAAGTTTGGATGTGCTACGCTGTGGGATCTGGCAGTGAACAACAACAACAAGGTGGTGATTGCATCGAAGGGCGGGATTGACGCTGTGGTTGCGGCGATGAAGATGCACAGTAGCAACGATGGTGTGCAAGAGCAAGGGTGTGGTGCACTGCGGAACCTCGCACTGAACCATGACAACAGGGTGGCAATTGCGTCGAAGGGCGGGATTGATGCTGTGGTTGCAGCGATGAAATGCCACAGCAGCAACAGCGGTGTGCAAGAGCATGGGTGTGCAGCATTTACGAATTTTGCCACAAACCCTGACTTGCTGGCACACCTTCGTTCCCGAAGCATTTCTCTCCTTGCCAGACAGGCCAAGCACAACCACCCAAGCAACCGTGGTGTGCAGCAACAGGCAGACCGCTTGCTCAGCAAGCTTTCCTGACCTGCTTCTGAACCCCTGGTCCCTTCCACTGCTGCCTTCTTTTCCTCTTGCTTGTCGTGCCGCGTCTACTCCACCGCTCATGGTTTTTTTTTTCTCGCCTTGTGCTCTGTGTCTTCAACCACCTCGTTTTGTGCAACATCACCCGACACTACGACACGCCCTGTCCCCACTGTGTTTGATGAGGGTGGTTGTTCTCAACGTGTTGCTGCTTGAGTTCTTCGCTTCCCTCGTCGCTGTCTTTGCTCTTCGTGGCTTTTGCAGACTTTGTTTCGATTGTTTCTTCGTTCGTTCATTCATGTGGTTTCGTTCACTGATTCATGCACATTGATTGAAACCCGAACAACACCACACCACCTTCGTGTTCAACAAACACGAGTTGAACAGCACCTACACACTGTCACTGCATCTGCTACACGACGTCACCAAAGAGAGAAGGAGAGAGGTTGCACACGTTCAAGTGAAGAAACACACAAGTTTCGCAACTGCCAACCAATGCTACGCTGCAGGCGTGCATCATCTGCGCATCACTCACAATGAGCAACGTGCGCGCGCCATTGATGATTGCACCATCACCACTCCGCCAATTTCTCTATGCGTTCTATTGATGGTTACACCTTGCCCAAAAGTGGTAGTCCACAAGAAACACAGAAAGAGGGACACGAGGACAGGAGAGCTATCAGTCCGGTGGGAGTTGAGAAGGGGCTAAGAGCAGAGCACAGGGAAGAGGGCTCAGGGAGCAGACAAGCACGAGAAAGGGAAACAACCGCTTGCGTTTCACGGCGCTGCATCTCCACGCTGGCTATCTTGTTTGGTCGTGAGTGTGTGGTTGTAGGTCGCGCATGCTACCACGATGCCCAGGGGCGGAAGGAGAGCGGAGAGAATGTTTGGTTCATGGGGATGGTGATGTCGGCCATACCCGCGCCGCTGCGCTCCAGGCTGTCCAAGATGCGGTGCCTGCGAACGAGGAGTGTTTAAGTTGTTGTTTTAGTTGTTGTTGTTGTTGTTGTTTAAGTTGTTGTAGTTGTAGTTGTAGTTGTAGTTGTAGTTGTAGTTGTTGTTGTTGTTGTTGTTGTTGTTGTTGTTGTTGTTGTTGTTGTTGTTGTTTAAGTTGTTGTTGATTTCGTGGCAGGTGGGATGACAATGTGAGGCAGTTGGGACGGGAGAAATGCGGGGGAGACATGCACAGACAGACAGACATAGGCGCACAGACGCGCAGACACACACACACACACACACACACACACACACACACACACACACACACACACACACACACACACACACACACACACACACACAAACATCCCACGCACCCGTCAATGCCGAGCATGAAGAGAGACGGGATGGTGACGGAGTAGTCCAGCCCTTCCGCAATCATGTCAATCCACTCCCTGACGCCCCGGGGGGATCGTGTGAGTGCGCGTACATGCACGTGCGTGTGTGTGTGTGCGTGTGTGAGTGCGCATGCACGTGCGTGTGTGTGTATACTCGTCAGAAGATCAATCCAAGCAAACGCTTCGTGAGATCCAACAACAACAAAACAGACATACACAGAGACAGACAGACAGACATCCCCCACACAAACAAAACCGACGCACTCTTCCATGGAGTTGTCGTAGATGACGGCTGCGATGGCCCCCGCTTGCTGCGCATGGAACGTTTTCTCCGCGAAGGAGCACATGCTGCGAGAAGGGTGTGTGTGTGTGTGAGGAGGGAGTGTGCGTGAGTATTGCGTGTGTCTGTGCGGGGTAACTGGCACACGCACAAGCACAGACAGACAGATAGACAGACAGACACACACACACACACACACACACACACACACACACACACACACACACACACACACACACACACAGACAGACGCGCACACACGCACAAACACACGCAGATGCGCACACACAGACGCGCACACACGAACGCGCAAAACAAATTGCACATAACCCCCTCACCCTCGTTGAACGAGTGCGATTTGGCCCTCAACGGCAAAGTTGTTTGTGAACGTTTCGCAGCCCTGCACTGGTGCGGAAGGAACGAGCTTGATGTGCCGGTGCACGTGTACAAAGTCGCCACCAAAGTCTTTTGCAGGAAGCACGGGATACACGTATGCCACCTCCTTTGGCTGAATGGGGGCATACAAAAGGGCAATACATGCAGTCGCAGTGTGAGGGAGCAGAGGGAAGGCCGGGAGGAATGCGAGGAGAGGAAGCAATGAACGGCGCATGGGTAACAGCTAAAACACCCTCAGACACACACACACACACACCTGGTGAAGAGCAAAGTAGACAAAGTCGTCGTTGGAGTGAAAAGCGGCTGCTTGTTGCGGCATGCTTTGAAAACCAACCATCGCCATCAGCAATGCCACGATCCCAACCATCATCATCAACGGTCTGTTCAACACTGTTCCTGCTTTTATTCTCCGACCTCCTTGTTGTCTTTCTTCGCACCGCCACGCCATTCCACATGCACGTCCATGCTGCCTTCTCTCACGCTGCTGTCGCTGCTTCTGCGACTGTCCCGCAGCTCCACAAGCACAACGACACGCACCATGAGCACCACTTTGGCATTCGCACGCCATGGTCATCATCCTCATCGTCATCCGCGTTGTCCGTGCTGAAGTTTGGACGATTGAACAAAGATTTCCAACACATTTCGGCGCTCCAACGCTCGTCATCACACACGTCTTCCGCCCACACACAACAACAGCACGCTGTTCCCCCCACTCCACGTGATCACACACTACTCTCCACCCCCTTCGTTTGTGTCCGCTCTTTGGTGGACTGGTCATGAGCCGCAGCAACAGTAACAGGGCTAGCAACCGAAACAGCTGGCATGTTGAAGCTGACAATGAGGGACAAGCTCAGCACTATGCAGAGCAGTATGCAGCCCTGATGTTGCAGCCCATGATGTCCGCGCCGCTCAGGGTGGCGCAACCAGCTGCCCCACCGGTGCCGCAGCACCCCGTCGTCTTCTCCCCCGTCTGTGCCACATGCAAGGCACACCGCTGCCCACCCGTCAAGGCGGCAGGTGTGTGTTTATGTGTGTGTGTTTATGTGTGTGTCTGTGTCTGTGTGTGTGTGTGTGTGTCTGTGTCTGCCATGTTGTGTTCCTGACGACTTTGCCTGTCCGCTGCTTGTCTGCCTCTGTGGCTGTCTGTTTCTGTGAATCTATCCACGCCCCCATCCCCTCTCTGCTCATGATGTTGGTACGTTGTTGCGGCCCTTCCTCTCTTTGTGTAGCGTTGGGTCACTTTCGGTGCCTGCAGTGCCTCCACCATGAAGGGCGCGTGGTGGGCGTCAAAGACGACACAGGGGCGACACCCCTGCACGCTGCGGTCGGTAATGGCCACTTGGAATGCGCCATGTGGCTGGCAGACCGTACGGGTGCAGACCTCCATGCCCGCGACGGCACGGGTTCCATGCCTGTACACCATGCCGCCTATCACGGCCGCCTCCCCTGCCTCAAGTGGCTGGTCAAAGAAACCCACAAGGAGGCGTGAGTCTTGTGTGAATGTGTGAATGTGTGAATGTGTGAATGTGTTAATGTGTGAATGTGAGAATGTGTGAGAATGTGAGAATGTGAATGTGAATGTGAATGTGGTTTGGTACACACCCTGCGCATATGATCGACGGGTCCTCCTTCAACTCTTACAGTCTCCTCAACATTCCCCCCCCCCTGTTTTGTTCTCCCATCCAGTGCCACCGCCAACTCTTCAGACGGTGGAACGCCGGTCCACTTTGCCGCTGCGAAAGGGAACCTCGAATGCCTCAAGTACCTCTGCTCCGACGAGGTGATCACTGCTCCATGACGTTTTTGTGAATGCGTGAATACATGAATTGCGTGCGTGTGTGTGTGTGTGTGTGTGTGTGTGTGTGTGTGTGTGTGTGTGTGTGTGTGTGTGCGTGTGTGTGTGTGAGTGTGTGTGTGTGTGTGTGTGTGTGTGTGTGTGTGTGTGTGTGTGTGTGTGTGTGTGTGTGTGTGTGGTGTGTGTGTGTGTGTGTGTGTGTGGTGAGCGTGTTTCCTTGGATTTGCATGAGTGGTCTTCTCTGCATATTTGGTGACCTCATCCTCTCGCCCACTTGCTTCATTTCACACCATCTCTCAACTAGCCCCCCCCCCGCACACACACGCCATTCCACCTCATCACGCCACGTCCCATCCCTGATGCCCATCACGGCCAGTGCGGTGCGAATCCAAACGACGTCGACGACAACGGCGCAACCCCGCTCTACTTTGCCGCCCAGGGTGAGCAATAGAGCAAGGTGGTGGCAAAGGAAGAGGAGATGTGTGTGTGTGTGTGTGTGTGTGTGTGTGTGTGTGTGTGTGTGTGTGTGTGCATGTGTGTGTGTGTGTTTTCGTTGATCTTGTATTTATTCGCAACATCATGACTGTACCAGCGCCTCTCTCGACTCGCGCCTCTCTCACACCACCACTAACATCACCATCACTGCCACCATTACGACAGAGGGGCGGAGTGCGTGTGTGCGGTGGCTGATTGAGCGCGGTGTCAGCTCATACGAGCAGGCACACGATGGCATGTGCGCCGTACATGCTGCTGCCCAGGCGGGACAGGCCGACACGCTGCAGCTCATTCTCTCAACCTGCCGCCCGCCAAAGTACGACAAAGGCGACTTTATATGTGTGTGTGTGTGTGTGATATGTGTGTGTGATATGTGTGATATGTTGAGGTTGATTCAACGCTTTGCCCACGCCCTCTCCATACCATCAAACCACATTCCTCACTCATCATCATCATCACCACTACTCCTCGCCATCATCGCCACCGTCGGGCTGCAGGGGTGGGGTGAGCGGAATCCGGGACCGCGATGGTGCAACGCCACTGCACTTCTCGGCGTCAAAGGGCCACGTGGCGTGCACGCGGCTGCTGGTGGAGCTCTTTGGATGCACCGGCAACGAACAGGACGCAATTGGAGCCACGGTCCGTGTGTGTGTGTGTGTGTGTGTGTGTGTGTGTGTGTGTGTGTGTGTGTGTGTGTGTGTGTGTGTGTGTGTGTGTGTGTGTGTGTGTGTGTGTGTGTGTGTGTGTGTGTGTGTGTGTGTGTGTGTGTGTGTGTGTGTGTGTGTGTGTGTGTGTGTGTGTGTGTGTGTGTGTGTGTGTGTG